ATTGTTCTGTGTAAGCATATGTTTGAGAAGCCTGTCAATGGCTCATTTAGACAGGACGAGGGAAATTTTCTACCTTTCTAATTATGGCCCTTTCTATTATGGTCAAAATCTTTGAAATCGTACGAAAAATTTGAGAAACAAAGTGAATCGCCTTCATTTAAATGGTGACGAAAATGATAAGAAATAATTATCCAAGGAGATCAGGCGCAATTTTTGAAAGTCAGTAGTGTCAGGAAGTGAAAGGGAAGTATTTCTGGTAATTTCCACTCAAAAGCATATTGGGTCGTTTTCTAGCAAAACTGCTTACCGTTCTTTTGCTCTGTCTCTCATTCGGAAACGATTTTAAAACTGCTTTTAAATTTGCTTTTAAAATCAAACTGTCACAGAATACATCCCGTAACATAGAGAACTGCACATCTTTTTTCACAAAATACAAACCCAACGTTATTCGAACTCCCTAGCTTTGCTTCTACGTACGCAGTGGAAGAGCCAGTCGTTGCTGTTGACCTAAAAATTTAAAATTTCGGCGTCATTTCACAAGAGTAGCATATCTAACTATTTGATTACGTTGTTCCAACTGTTTCTGTTGTATACTGGGTCGTCGTTATAGCAGTCGTCGTCACGTCATTCGTTGTCGGAGTGTTTGTAGTTGTAGTCGCAGCGACACTCGTTACGACAGCATTCGTTATCGGAGCGCTTGTAGTTGTTGTTGCACCGGGACCTATAAGCGATGCTGAGAAAGCAAGTTGAGGAAGGTATGCTTTTTACATACATATTACAGAGGAAGCACCGGCAGGAAAAACGGTAAACGTAAGACAAAATTGCGATGATGTTACATTTAGACTACAAAAACAGTAAATAGAAAGTAGAGGAAGAAAGAAAAATAGAAGGACGTTTTACCTATCAACAGCAACGGCACAATAAGTTTGTGGTCCTACTTGAGTATTGTTGTGGTGTCCAGTTTTCTTGCAACGTCCACACAGTTGGCGAAGTTTGAGTCAATGTTGTCTTATACATGTACAGTGGTGGCGTACGGAAAATATCTTGAATTGTTGTTCCACCACACCCAATGTTGGCATTAACTTGAAACGAAAATGGTACGTCAACAATGATAGCTGTACACGCAGAAACATTAGCTGTCAGAGTTGGCGTCAGTGTACATCCATTAGAGGGCGGTGAAAAAATTTTAACTAAAAATTGGATTGGTATGCTACTCATTGCCGTCGATATGGTTGTTGAATTCCAAAAATCTTCAAGTTGTAAAGCAACAGCATAATAACTGCCGACAGTGGTACCAGTACTATTAAATATCAGTGTACAAATATCTTGAATAAGCAAGGCAGTACTTGGTACGGCATGACAAACATCCCTATAAACAGTAAGAAAAAGTAAATCATACATTAATCAACAACGTGCCCCCGTTTCTTTAACCGGCCTGCATTCATCATATGAGCTAGTATTGACAGACCATCTGCATCTAAGCAAAAAAGTTGGTTAAATAAGTGATCATGTAAGGTCGGGAAAACTTTCTTTACTTCAAATAATCATTATCGACGTCAAGAACCGATATGTTGATAGCCGTCAGTGTATTTTGGGTTACGAGAACGGCTAAAAAGAGAAGTAACGTAAGCCTGTTCCCACCTGCGGACGGCAATAAAGTGCTTATTGTCACGTTTGGATGTAGCAGCTAGAGGATTTACGTATTTTTTACAGACAGTATTATGACTTTCTAAAAGTGACAACAAGGAGCCATTACTATTCCAATAAATTAACATTGACTGTAGCCCTCTAGACCTAAAAATATTTCTGACCGACTGCAGTATCATCTATTATACATAGAAGGCGGTACGACCAAAGTAGTTTCGATTTGCCGAAAGATTGCGTCACGACCGATATGTAATCTTGTTCATTCAGTTGGCTGTAGGGTCAATGAGACAACAAAAAGAAGGACGGTCTCAACAACTTTTCGATAGAACGCATTGCAATCAGTAACAACCTATCAAAAGTGACATCAGTTCCTTGATATCACTTCTGAAAAGTGGTGATAACGCCTTGTTTATACTTTTTGCTAGTGCCAATACTACTTCGTTTACACTTATGTAACGGCAATAGCCATTCTATAGAACAAAATAAGTATTTAGAGATAATTCTCGATCAGTCAAGTGCGTGTGTGAAAAATAACTACTGCATGAATACTAAAAAACACCATCTGAGGATATGCAAAGATTTGAGCAAAAGCAGAAGCAAGTTTCATTGATTACTTACGAGAAATAATTGTGGCACTCGGTGCCGTATTAATAATACCATCCGGACGAACAACTAAATTAATATGACATGTAATTGACCAGTAAGCAGTACTACCGCCAATGGCAAGGGTAATCCAAGACTGATCAGCATACTGTACGGTAAAACTTGAATTTGTTGCTAATGTGCTAATAGTGGATACGCTGCCGGATATTGAACCAAGCGCAACACTGAAATCCGTGCAATATTCATTATAGTGTATCGGTGTATAACCGCCACAAGCTGAATTCGGTGTTGTAACACAAGTGAGATATCTATAGGTACCGGCCGGAGGCAGTGTCGGTGATTGATTTACGATAACACTCTGATTACAATATCAACTTGGCAGTTGTATTATATATTGGTAACTTTGTGTTATTATAACATCAATTGTACCTGCTGTTGTTATTGTATTATTAACTGGTTTATATGTCACTATGCCACCGTGAAAATGCGAAGCATTAACAGAATAAAATAGTAGCATGAGAATAAAACGACGGGAGGGTACCATTACTAAATCAAGAGACAATAAATAATGTGTTAGCTCATAGAAAAATCCGATTCACTTCCACGCGACTCAATCCCATGCTCAGATGCTACTCGGAAGTGATCAGCGGACCCGATAAAACTCCATTCAGATCCTATCGTACCCAATCGGACATAATTACCACGGCTGAGATTAGTGAACAGAGAGATGTTCACGGTGGCAAAGTGACAACAAGGAGCCATTACTATTCCAATAAATTAA